ATAATGAATCCTCTCAAAAGATATTACCATTCAAAATAAATTGATCCGTAACAATAATTATATAGTCGTATAAAAATCGATATAAAATTATATGAAGTTGTGGCTTATGACAGTATGAAAGTTGACTAAAGTAAATACGATACTTCGTAATTTAAATCAAATGCGAATGACTTAGTTACATCATGGTTTGTCCAGTATTTTAAGTTTCTATCATATCTCTAATTAACACTTCATTTGTTTTCATATTTCTGTAATTCTAACTAGTAAATGAAATCTAATCTTGTATTTACTCGAATACCATAATGATAAAGTCTTTAATAGTGAGTTTCCTATTAATAGCCAGTTCTCTTGATTCGTTGACTCTTACCAAATATATATATATATATAAAACAAAGGTTTTATTAAAAATTTCCTTTACACTTATATATATATATATTAATTGGTGTGGCGCTCTAAAGAAAAATGGGTTACGCCTCAAAACTTTCACTGAATTTTAACCTTAATTTTTAAGTTAAAAGTATAATTCCGCCTTACTTCGATGATCATTTTACCGACAGCTATATCACACCAAGTGACCGCAACTAATCTAACCCTATATTGGCTAATACTAAATAGGGATATTACAGTCCAACAAGCTGAGCTTATAACCAGTTTATAAACTGGTCCAATCGGTCTTCGGTTCATAACTTTGAACCGGTCTATAAATTGGTCTGTATAATAATAATACTACATAGTAATAATCTCATACGTATACGAGTGCATTCATTATTGCATTATTGCAAAAAAAAAAAAAAATTCAGCATATGAATATATATATATATATATATATGTGCATAAAATAAGTTACATTGACATTTTTTTATTTATTATATCTAATTAAACACATAATAAATTTGCTTATTTATCAATTATTGGGAACTGAATATAATATATAACAAAGTTCGGATTTCATAGCAGAAAAATTATATGAATTGATGCAGACAATCAGAGAGCTTCAAATAGAACAGTTTGTAGTCTTCGGTCCGATCCGCAATTCAAAGGCTAAACCGGTCTTTTTGAACCGGGACCGGATCGGACTGTAACATCCCTATAAATGTCGGTGAGTAGCACCGAAAAAATATACATAACTTAAGCAAACACCATAGGTGAGTTTAATCATGAAAACTCATTCCGGGACCCTGGGACCTAGTTCACTAAATATAGCATCTTTACGACAAGATACTATCGTTCCCTGGGTTCGATTTCTGCATCAAAACCATAAATTTATGATCAGACATTGTGACAAGAAGTACTGAAAATCATAAAGAATCCTGAAATTTATCTAATTATCTTAACAATTAATGTAATCAAATTTATTATTCATATCATTCGAATATAGAAAAATACAGTATCAGTTTTTTTACGTACGTACGTACACGAAACAATATCAGATATTCGGTCAAAAAAAAAGAGCATAAATGGAGTTATTAATTCACCAATTTTAGTATAGATTTAAAACGGTTATTGTGTCAATTAATATCAATATGGTTAGTATGCAGGGAGCGATCGTTCCGATATTATTTATCTATATTATTCAATTGGTTTCTAATATTTCTAAAATATTTGTTATTTATCATCTCTAACGATGAAGTTTCAAGTTTAATCGGTTAATGAAACCCAATTCCTAAAATATATTTTTTTTATCGATTAATATTACTTTTTTAAATATATAAAAAAAAAATTTTTTGAAGAATTTATGATAGCCATTATTAAATCATTATTATATAACAGATTTCTAATACGTACGTACTTGGCTGTGTTACTCCTTTCAAACAATTTTCAAATTAAAGTTTATTGTATCAGAATTAAGGTTTTTTCTATTAGTATTTCTACTCTACGTACGTACGTACGTACGTACGTACAGTACGTAGCGATAGCTGTCAATTATTTCATGTGACTTTAGTTACAAAAGAAAAAAAAAGTAAGTCAATATGAAATTTCAATTGGACTAAAAAAAATGCAATACATATTTAAAAATGATATTCGTTAAACTTCGTGTCCTATTGTACTGTTGTATCAATTAAAGCAATTGTCAAAATGCTTCTCCGTTTTTTTGCAGTGATTATTTATTTTGTATTATCCCTGAAGATCCAACCAATTTGTAGTTTACATGCATTTCATACCGGTTATATGACCTCATGACTTTTATTATAGGTTCATAAACAGAAAAAATTCGCCATCCTGTTGGATAAAATTACTTTTGCATGCTTTTCCTTATTTAATCATATTGCTTTATCGTTACGTATTTTTATTAGCGATCCACATCGATGTGATTTTTTTTTTTTTTATTAACTCAAAAGGAAGTAAGAATAATGAAAAAAAAAACTTTAAGATGTCTAACCGTTATATACAGTATCGATTCTCATAATATTATGGAAACAATCAGTTACTAACTTTCGTATGTACTGTACTAAACTATAAACGAATAAGCATGATGAGCTAATAAAAATGTAATTTAAAAATTTTCGTATTAATAATTCCTGGATTTCCTGGGTTTTATTCTTTTTTGGAGCAGTACAATTATTTCGTTTTCAAAATGATTTGTGCAAAATTGCATGCTTATTTTAATTAATCTAGTTACGTAGTTCCCTAAATTCATGTTGTTCAAATATGCAGTACAACGAAAACATACAGTATTCCTTTATATGTAGGACAGGTGCAATTTGACATTCGTGATCCTAAGTAGGTCCGTGTTCTCAGAGATAGTTTTCTAACGAAATTAGTTAATTGAAGTCGGTTATCATTAAATTCTGTATTTTTATTATTTATTTTATTATTTGTTTTTTTTTATTAATTTTATTATTATCATTATTATTTTTTATCTTTGTCATTTCTTGTTTTACTCAATACGTTCTCTTAATTATTATTAGTGTAAAATTTATAAAATTAATTTACTTACTTTATCACTATATAAATGGTGATTATTCTTGGCTTATTTTGTATTAAAGACAAAGAATCTTTAACTCACGAGTAGTGTAACATTAAGCAGTTTCGATGATCATCTGCGTTTAATATTATGGTATGTATTTGTGGTTCATGACAATTATATGAATGGTCACAGAAAAAATAACCCGTGTTGGACTGGTTTTATCGTCACTGGTTTTGACCCTCGTACACTTTACCTCTCTTCTCAATTTCTTTTGTTTTTTTATTTATCGATATTTTTTATTTTTATTTTATTTTTCGATTCTGCTATTATTAATTTAGGAGGTGAACTTTTTTTAAAAAGATCAAAAAAAAAGAAAAATTTTACGAATAAATGAGTTCCTTACAACGTAAAAAATCTTTATTTCGATTTTTTGGTCGAAAACGACAATCTCATTCCGCTCGTCTTCCTGCGGATTGCCTATATGACATTTTCAATCTTCTTAAAGATGACATTAAATCTCTTCACTCTTGCATTCTTGTTAACAGACTTTGGTGTGAAACTGCAATTCCTTATTTATGGTCACATCCTTTTAAAAGATCTACTCCCCCTGCTCCTTCACTAATCAGCGTTCTTGTCGCATGTCTCTCTGATGATGAAAAATCGGTTCTTGTTCAAAATGGTATTAAATTATCTTCTCAACTTAAAAGACCACCAACTTTTGATTACGCTTCTTTTATTCCACATCTTAGTTTAGAAAGTCTTTACTCTAGTGTTCAAAATTGGACTATGCGACAATCAGTAAAAAGGCGTAGTTCAATATCTTCTCAATGGTATGTCATTTTATAATCTTTTTTTATCCAATTAGTTAATAATTATTCACTTGTATTAAATTATTAAATTATTATTTTTTATATTTATAGTATTTCTGGTATCAATACTTCTGCTCTTTCGGTATATTATTCTCTATGTCGTTTATTATTTGGAAATATATCTACTATCACTTCATTAAAATTGGATCGACCAACTAAACTTTCTTCTCCTACTGCGGATGATTCTTTGGGAATTGATCTATCTCTTCAAAATATTAAAAATTTAACCATCCGTTATACTTCTGATCACTTTTTATTCGATCCACTTCTTAAACAAGCTGAAAATATTGAATATTTATCCGTGATAAAGTCGTCAGAAGCTGGTCTTCGTAATTTTGAAGATTTACAATATTTATCTTCTTTGATATTTTCTCAATCTAAATTACGAAGTTTCTCTCTTATGTGTTATGATACCGTTAATGGTTTTTCTCCAAGCGTTTTGACTCCTCTTGCAAGTCAAGCTGATACTCTTGTTTCTCTTATTCTTCACGGAATTCCTTTCCCAGGTGACTCTTCTATTCATGCTTTAACTATTTGTACAAATCTTGAAGAATTAGATATTCGTCGTTGCACTAATGGTCCTGGTTGTCAATTGGATCAAATTTTAAATGTTGAATTCCCTAATCTTCGTAAAGTAAAAGTCGTGGAATCTTCAATTCTTTGGGGTCATCTTATTGCTTCTGCAATTCAAAAAAATCCTACAGATTTAGAAGAGTTACATTATCAACCATGGGAAGACGAGGAACATGATGTTTTATCTACTTCTATTATACAAAGTATTACCAAATGGCAACCAAAATTGAAAAAATTTGGTATTGCTCTTGGTGCAGATGAAATTCCTTCATTGATAGAAATCTTAAATGTTCCAGGATGTAAATTAGAATTCCTTAGTTTATTTTCTTTAGGTAAACAAGAAAATGACCTTGAAAAAATTTGGCCAGAATTAGGAAAAAGTTTACCTACTACTTTAAAACATCTTAATATATGGATATTCATTGGAGCAAGAGCGATGAATCTTTTCTTGAAAAATACTAAAGCTGTTCTAGATTCACTATATGTTGATTCTTGGTTTGAAGATTATACACATCCTCCTTATATTAATTTACTTTCTGATTATCTCAAAGACCGACCCATAGATATGGATAACTTTTTCCATCCAGTATTACATTAAATTCTTAAAGGAATTTTTTTTTTTTTTTTTTTTTAACGGGAGAGAGAGATTACTATTTTAATTTGATTAAATTTTTGTTCGTATTTTAATAATAGACTGTTTTATTTGTTTAAAGTTTTTTTTTTTAGTTTTAAACATCTTTTTTTTGTTCACATCTCTCTATTTAACCGTATAATCAGCATCTTAAAAAAAAAAAAAAAAAAAAAAAAAAAAAGATAATACGTTCTATCTAATAATGGTTGATAACATCGTGGTCTTTTGAGCTTTTATACTAAATTGTTTCATTCAAGTTACTGTTATTGGTTTTTTTCTTCGTCCATATGATAGACATTTTATTAGTAAATATAAATTTTTTTTTTCTATAAAAAAAAAAGAGCCATCGTATAAAATAACAAATTTATATAGATTTATGAATCTTGAGTGTAAATGAACTAGTTTAGTTTGAAAGATTATTTTCGATGTAACAAAGTTTACATACATTAATTTTGAAGTAATTTTTCTTTTAAACGTGATATTGTCAGTAGAAGTTTTTCTATCAATGTATTTTAATCCTAATATTTAAATAAATTTTTTTTAATAATGCACATTTAGACTGTTTAAATGATATTGTAGACTGCTTAAATGACATTGTAGACTTTTGATTATTTTTCGTTATTAATTCAAATTTATTAATAATTTCGTCTTGTAATTCTTTGATAAATTTTGGCTGTTATTTTTTTTTATGAACTACGTACGTACGTACGTACGTAGATCACTGTCTTGTACTCTGTACTATAATTTGCTCTTCTATATTTGTTTCGTTTGTCACATTATTTACAGCGAGTTTCTGTAAATACGTGTGTACGGCGTACTGCACATACTCACTCACAGGGAGTACAAAATATTTACTGTAAAGTGCTTATTAGTAGATCCTCCTATGAGTCCTGAGGCAGTTCGAGAATTAAAGTGTAAATTATTGAAGATTAGCAAAGTTGAACGAAAAATGTACATCAGAAATCTTTGTGAACACCCAGATACATATCGATTTATCCTTATCACAGAGCCTTCATTCACGTCCATATAGTGTAGAAATTTTTTTTTTTAACACATTCCGCTAATTATTATTATTATTATTTTTTTTTTGCCGTCCATGCATATAAAACTGAATACAGTCACATCCCTAAGTACAAGTACGTACGTACATAATTCAGCCTGGTCCCAACTTATAGAACTCTATAAATTTTATAAGTGCAAATTTTAATTTTTTTTACTATTGTCCCGAGAGGATGCACTTAGTGAGATGCAACTGTATGATCATTTTTCTGCTTCATGTACAATGTAATTGCGCTATAAATCAGGAACGGGGTGTATTTCAACTTCTAAATGTTTATAATTAATAAATTATTTACTTACGACTTGACCTACCGTACAGCGCTGCATACAGTATCCCTGGTTTTTTTCAAAAATGCCAAGATTAATTAAATAATACCCCCGGGGTATTGTGTGAAGAGGGGGTACTATGAAAAGTATTGATCATGTGAGTTGATCTAATAACAAGATCATTTGATTCGGATCATAAACGTCATATTGTAATTATTTATCTAATAAATAAATAAGTAAACAATCGAACTTTACATAAATATGCAGTATTAAGCGACCGAACTTCTTTATATAAATATATTGAGCGATCGAACTTCTTTACATAACTTAATATGGGCGTTGTTCAATAGAAAAGGGAGAGATCTCCTTTTTAAATCTGGTCAATTTGAGAATTAAAAAAGAGATCTCTCCCTTTTCTATTGAACAACCCCCCATATATTAAGCTATCGAATTTCTTTATATAAATATATTGAAATGGGTTTACGAGCAAACGAAAGAACAAATCGTGCAACAATTACAAAAAAAAAACGACGGCAGTGGAACGCACGGGAAAAATAATATATGGGATGATTAATAATCAAATAATTAGAAAGCAGGATTTTTTTTTTTTTTAA